ATATAGGCTGGTTTATTTGAAATTACGTTAAGTTTCTAGCTTTATAGATATTTTGCATAAAAATATTGTTCTGGAAAAGCTAAAAAACTCATGAAAGGATACAGGAAAATATTATCTGCATTCTAATCTTTTAAGTTATTATTTTGCTACTTTTAATTATTTTTAAGTTATTATTTTGCTACTTTTTACAATGTTTATATAGTTATAAAAAGATTCATTTATAAATAATTATATACAATCTTTACCGTCAGTTGTATATCTGGTTCTTTTATGTGTAAGCATAGCCTCTGGCTTCTCAGAAATGAGCTTTGATGCTAAGAATTCTGCTGCTCCTGCATCAAAGAAACTATTCCCAATGGCTTTATCTTTAATGGCCCAAATCACTTCACAACCTTCAACTTCATACCTGCAAAGTAAATTCAAGTTACTTATAAGAGTTTTAACAGATGCTGTTGTTATGTACAGTCGAGTCACTTGCAACTCATAGCGACCCTATGTATAACAGCTCTAAACCCTGCTCTATCCTGTTCCAAACTTATTATCTGACACACCTACCCCCATTACCCCAGTGACTGAACCAATCCATCTCATCAAGCCTATTCCTCTCTCTTGTGCTATCCCCCCAACCTCCCAAGTATGACATCTCTCTCCAAGTAGAAGTAGATATATTTGCCCCTACAAATAATAATTATCTCCTGACACAAAAGTGAGGAAAATATTTTAAGGAAAATAGGGAAGGAATGATTATAAAAAGATAATTCAAAATATCATGGTTGTTGAGTCAGAACCAACTCATAGCTGACCCTAAACTGGGTTTTCACTGTCTATTTGTCTCTTGTGTAGCAGCTGATGAATTTGAAGCACCAATGACTTGAGGCTTTTAAGTGAGTAGCACAATTCCCTATGGACCACACCACCAGAGCTCCCTATAAACAGGTAACTAAGTTACAAATAGAATAGTAAAACGAATTTAACTACTTCATTGAAAATGGCAAAATAGATGTATTGAACATCAGGTAAAATTTCATCATAATAGATAGCATTTCAAAGTGTTCCATTTTTATAACCTAGTGATTATGTGTAAACGGTCATTACAAAGACAGAAGAGGAAGAAAAGACCAAAATGGATGTCAGAAGAAACTCTGAAGATTGCACTGGAGCGCAGAGAAGCCAAAGCGCAAGGAAGAATTCAAGATACTAAAGAGCTGAAGAGGAGATTCCAAAAGGCTGCTCGGAATGACAAAGCAAAATACTACAATGAAATTTGAGAGGAGCT